GGGGGGGGGGAAGCCAACAGGCACTTTCCAAGTAAGCGCTTTGCCATCTGAGCCAAGAGCAGCTCTGCTGCTTGGCGCCAGCAGAGATGGACCTCACCATCGGTTCCATTTAGAGCTGACCTGCCCGTTAGCTGGCCCGAGGACCCAATAAGATAACTAATTGGTGATGCCTCTTCTGGGAGAGGAAAGCGCTCTCACACGGAGTAACGCCGGAGCAGCTCACTGGTGGGGGGAATGACCACCTCATGACTTTACCAATGAGAAACTAGAGAGGTAATTCCCAAGCTGCACTACAAGGGTTGCTCGTGAAAGGTTTGGATACCAGCGTAGCCAGCTCCCTTGAGAAGGCTGGGAACCTGCTGTACTGGTCACAGCATCAGACCCCACCAGAAATGGCTTCTAAGCCTCAGGTCTTACAACAATGGAAACAGCTTGGGAGCAGCAGAGGTCTTAACACACGGGATCAGCGGCAGTTAACATGCCTGCTCCTGGCTCCCACACACACAAAGCCCGACCTTCAGAGCACCTAATGCACTAGAAGGTCGAGGGCAAGTTAAGAAAAGGCAGAAAGGAAGTCAATGGAGTGGATCCGTGGGCTAACAAAACACTGGGGAACAAACAGCATCAAGTCTCCATTCATTGCAGAGTTCACCGACGGACACTTCACGGTCCCCGGCACATCTAGTCAAAGAGGCAGCTCAAATTGCTGCCATGCCAAAATATATCAAGCACAGCATGACACTCCCCCGACTGAACCTGCAAACACATGCTCAGCTCCAGCAGGTACAAAAAAGCAAGCCAGGCTTGCAGCGGGGACCTCTCCGGGTTTCCCAGAACGGCACATCCGAGCGCAGGGGCTGGTGCTCCGGCCTCCGCGACCAGTGGGATAGCCGGAGCCGAAAGGCCCCTCCGACCCCGAGGTCTTAACCTCAGAACAATTACCTCAGACTCCGGTATTCAGCCGATCACTTGGGACCAGATTGCTGGTGGCGTGGATGAGAAAAATGGAAGCTGACACAACCGGCACTGACTCGAAGAAGCAGAAGTTACAGTACTTATAAATCAGTTAATTAAGCAAGAAACAGCCTTCCAATTTTCTGCCGGACGAATCCCACAGCACAACACCAACCGCAGGCCAGGTTCAGCGGTGGAGACGAGGGCGAGGACCAAAGACGGGCATCCGCTCCCTGCACGATGTCAACAAACCGACTCCCCCAAGACCCGCTGCGTAGTTTAAATTGGACAACAACAACAACAATCTGAGCGCCACAAAGACCTAACCCAGAGTCAAAGGAAAGAAAGAGGGGCCGCAGCTCAGAAGGCTTCAAAGCCGGGGAGTTATTAATATTTCATGTTTTGGCCTACATACAGCTACTC